GCGCACAGAGAATGGAGAAAAAAATGGAAAAATTTGTGAACGTAAAGGGGAATTCAGAAGCCGTGGTCGCCAAATGAAGAGGTGTGAAAACTCTTCTTCGCTGGAAATCTATTGTTTGTAAGAAAACAAAAGAGAGAAGGTCCCGATCTCCAAGGGCAGAGAAGAAGCACGAGTAAAAGAATGCTGTGTATTGATAAGAAAAACAATGGAATGGAGATAGGGATTCACAATTCGGATTCCCCCTTTTGAAAGGCTAGCGGTTCTAACTGCTAGCATATACTATATGCTGTGCATGATTTAATCTATGGCTCCGATGCAGCCCTGGGTTCAAAGTCGGAGTCCCCTGAACCTGGGTTTTTGGTTGCTACAGCAACCAGCGGAAAGTTGCTTGCTCGAAAACCTTGCTGTTCGAAAACTTGAATGGCTTCAGTGATATTTTGGTTCTGAGCGAGGCAGAGGATCATCGCAGTCCACAGCCCTACGTCCTTGTTCCCTGAGAAATTCTCAAACACAGCCACTGCTTTCTCTGGATTTCCGCAGCGACCGTAGCAGCGCACCAATGCAGTGGACATGGCAACGTCCCATTCGGTCCCATCCCTCACTACAAGCATGGATCTCTTCTCCATCGCCCAGATCATCACAGCATGAAAGAAGCATCGTGTAGGTGACTTTGTCCGCTTTCAAAGGCATCCTCTCGTAAATTGCAAATGCTTTTTAGCATTGCCCGCACTGGGCATGACATCGCGTTCCAGGCCACCAGATCTTTCTGTCCAAGACTCTCGAAATCCTTTCCAGCCACTCGGCCTTCCTGCAGTGATCCATACATCCTCAGAAGCTCTGTGGCAATCTGCAAATCCCTAAGGCCACACTCCTCGAGGAGCGATCGAACAAGGTTGCCATGCTCCAGCGTCAAGCAAGACCTCACCAGGCTAAGGAACGCCACCTTGTCCGGTTTCACTCCCTCCATGCACATCTCCCCAAGAACCTTAAATCTCTCATCCCTGCTAGCATTAGGCCACGATCCCCAAGAGAAGACGTTCTTGTCGGCAATGGCGTCGTGCGCAATTTGCCATACATCTCCACGAGAAGATTATCGATCCTGGCGCCCATGGAATCGCAGCTGCGTGCAAGCGCTTGCCTGCTTCCAGGGCATTGGATCTGCCACATCTTGACACAAGAGCCCCAAACTCCTCTGCGTCAATGGCAATGCCCTCTTGAACCGGAAGAAGCATTTTGGATTTAGAGTTGACCATTTGACTCTTAAGAACAAAGGTTTAAATTAATAATTATTTCAACCACAATGCTCATTGTGGTGCCAAGCAAAGCAAGTCAAGCCAAACATATGCAGAGCAGTCGCCCGCCTGCACCAGACAGGGACTCTTAACTAGACTCCACCTCAGCTCCTCCAACACCCACATAATATACTTGTCTACTGGCAATACAAAGAGACATTACATTACATTATAGGCTCTTTTATTTAGGATATGACTTCACTTGAATCAGGGGTGTCCCAGGTTGAAAATGTGATTGTGTAGCTTAACCACACGTTCAAACTTCAAGCTCATTGGAAGCATTCCACGTTCACTTTGAAAACTGCACAAAGCTAGAGCAGCTAAAGCTTGGAAATAACTATATCCATGGACATTGCTAACAAGTAATGGAGATATTTGTCCTTGGCCATGGAATAATTAAGGAGGGAAATTCCCATTACTTCCATTTGGCACCAACACTTTGTTGGAGTTAATTGGTCTGAGAAGAAATAATTTCAGTGGTGAGATTCTCGTCAACTTTCACCAGCTAAGTGGGGAGGCATCCAATTTAAAGGATTTTTGCCAGATATGATACATAACACAGCTGCAAGTGGTGGATGTGACTTGTTCTTGCAAGTCAAAGGACAGTACACGGGATATGAATGTTTCTTTGGGACAACTACATTGCTTGACTTGTCATCCAATTTTTATGTGGAGAGCTTCCAATTGGCCTTCAGTACCTCAACTTGTCACACAACAACATCACTAGTGAGCTTCCCAAAACATTGGGCATGCTTAAGGAGCTGGAGCAACTGGATATGTCATATAACCACTTACATGGAGAGATTCTAGTGGAGCTCGTAGGGGTGAACACTCTGTCATTGTTTGACCTGTCTGCCTCCTGCTGCCTCTTACAACACCAATTAACCACATTATGGTTGTACATGAAGACATACCCTGAGGTAGATCTTCTATCATCTAGATCTCTTGCCTAGTTTGTGTCTATATATTCCACCAGACCATTGTCTCCATTTCCTCTTACATATTTCAGTGTGTAGTTCCTTGTACCACTCACATACCTTATGATCTACTTCATATCAGCCCAATGTGGTGATGAAGGTTGTCCAAGAACTTTGAGATT